TTCAATGTGAATGTCTATTGAATCACATGTCAGTCGATGTAAACATGAAATGAGCGCTCGCTTTGAATGCGAGTCCAATGTCTGGCACTCTGTGTCCGATACAAACATTACAACCGATACTTCACTACATATTCACCACTCATTCACTCATACATTCATTTGCAATGCATGTGATGTGTGAAGACTTTGAGGACTGAGACAATTGTATTATATTTATAACAAATGTTGAATTTTCAATCAATACTTCGCTTCACTATCACTTGACAACCAAATCAAACACTTTGGGAAACAAATAATAATTATTTATTAAAAACTTTAATTTAATAGTAATCAATAATATAAAAAAAGTAAATAATAAATGTTTTATTTTAATACTTTAGTCGAACAGAACTTATAGTCTTTGTTGAAGATATTTGAATATATAATATATTTGCGAAAAATGAAAATTAAATAATAATTATCTCCAATTATATTCTGAAGCAAAACAAGCAATTTTAAGTCATAAGTAATAATTAGTTCTTATAATGTTGTATATCATAAAAATTTTGACATTTGTGTGAAAAAATACAATATTCTCAATAAATTGTTAAAATGATTGCTAATTAATAACTTTTAAAAGATATTCTACTTTTCATTCATTATTAAAATTTATAATTTTTATGACAATTAATGTGCGAATCAATGATTTTGGTGAAGATTATAGTGTTTATCGTTTGGATGCGCGACGACAGGACTTTTTGTGTCCCGATAGCCAATGCTGTTGTTGGCATTGAGTTGAACAGTAGCTCGTATTCCAGCAACTAATCAAATAACAAACAATTAGAACAAAAAACTTATTCTCAATAATATTAGTAAATATCACCAGAAATATATGGCCTCCGCTTCGCAGTTAAAGCACTAAACAATTTTGAAAAATTTGTAATTAAAATAGTTTTAATCATAAAGGAGTGAAGACAAACCCATTGTTTCTTCTTCATGAGTGACATTTCCTGCAAATGCTTTTCCTTCAATTCGTTGATCTCTTGTTTCTCTTGAGATTCTGCGCTCAGTTTTCGCACTTCATTCTGAAGTCTGTAATTCAATTGCTTAACGACTTCCAAATCCTTCTTCAACTACGATATAAACAATTAAAATTCATTAATAAATCAATTGATTCCTAGAGAATATGTGCATCACTTGTTTGATCTCTTCCTTCTGCTGCATCTCAATGCTGTCCTTTTTTGGTGTCTTATTATTCTTCGACTCGATATGAATCGGCATTTCCTGCGGTATAAGAATGGGTGGCGGAGACGACACAGTCATCGCTTTGAGCTCTTCGAGTCTCATTCTCTCAATGGTTGCCTTATTTTTCACTCCTTTGGGTCGACCCCTCTTTGGACTCACGACTGGCGATGCGTTGGGAATCGGATTCAACACTCCATTCGTCAATTGACTCGTAAATGACTTAATATTTTTAGTAACTTTTTGTTTCTGTTTTTTATTCTTGGTTTGCATCATATGTTTGGTGTCTCTAATGTTTGTGAAGCAAATGCCGCCCGGATTCGAGTCATCCATCGACTCGTAATCAAAGACGTTGTTATCGTTTACCTCTTTCTTCACAACTATTCTCTCGACCTTTTGTTTCTTTTTAGGGATTTTCACTTCCATTTCGGGTGATTTGTAGCGTATGTTTGGCTTACTTTTACGGAAGGGTCGACTTCTGGCCAGCGATGAGTTTTGTTCGTTGTGTTCGTTAGTCTTCAGTCGTTTCGCTCCAATCACTTGACTGTCTTGACTCGAATCCGAAAAGTTTTCCGTTTCATTCATTTGGGGTATAATTCCATTCAATAGTCGATTATTTGTCTTTGTATTAACCACTTTCTTGGCTCCAGAACCCGATGCCAGCGAATCGTTTCCAAAATCAGATATTATTTCGGATTCATTATTAAAATATTTGTTCATATGCTGTAAAATTCAAAGTCATAATTAAATTACAAACACATGTAAACTGAATTATAATGGCTTTTAGTAAGTCTTACCGCTCTCTTAGGTTTAATCGGAGATTTGTTTGTCTGTAGAGAACGTCGGCCTGTTTTCAATGGTATTGTCTTTTTCTCTGATTCAGTAATTCTTGTCTGAAAGGGTGTTTTCATCCCTCGATTTCGTGTCCGAATCGGAGACTTTACAAAAGGCTTTGGAGTCGAAGTGAACTGTTGTTTGGGTCTCGTATTGACAGGACTTTGCGGCGCATCTGTTGTATCGTTCATAATCTGGGAATCAGTTGTCGTCTCATTTTCATCAATACTTTCGGTTTTAATTTCCATTTGATTCGATCGCTTTCGAGGTCGCGTACCGTCGGCTCGTTTTCGTGGTCTTTTGGCCGACAGATTCTTCAGTGATTTGACTGAGGGCTGACTCGTGTCACCGACAGAACCGGTCAATACCTGCAAATTGTTTTGATAGGTCTTCAACTCCTTGAGGGCCGCCGCCAATGGAGGCGACGGCTTAGATATGCGAAGTTCTTGTAGTGTTGAACCAATGGGTTTGATATTCTTGTTATCAATGGATTCTCTTTCGTGAAATGAGCCGAAGAAGCGAACGTAACATTTATTTTTCTTTTCGTCTCTTGTAATCACTTTTGAGGGCCAAAACGGATAACCCTTTTGTTTAGCGTAAACTAAATCGTGCGGAGGATTACAGGGATTGCAAAACCAGTTTTTGTCCGCTTTTTGATTGGTTTCCGCTGAATAGCAATCAACACATTCTCGTATTTCAGTCATCTCTTTGAGGCAATCGTCTAACGCCTGTGCAGTGGTCGCTGCGGTCGTACTGATGGTCCCATACAAGAGAGTCACGCAATGAATCAAGTCTTGAACATCCATTTGAAACTCAATTAATTTTTTATAGGAATTGCTTTCAGTTTTGTCCAAAAGTTGTGTTAAATCTGTTTTACTGAACACCAATTGCTTTGTCTTCATGTCGTCCTCGATATTCATCGCCAATTCAACTAATTTCTTGTTTTTAGCAATAATTTGATTGAAAGCGTAATTCAATATTTGGTTCAATTGTGGCACTGGAATCACTTTTTCGCCACTTCTTGTGTCGTATTCTTTGCTCAAATCGAGACAAACATCACAAACAAATGGTTTGTCCAATTCGTTGAACTCTTGTTTCAGACAATAAGAGTGATATACTCGCCAACAACGGCCGCACTCGACAACACTTCCGGGTTTGTGACAATCAAAGCAATACCAGTCGTGGTCATCAACAAAACCATCACTTTCTGGAGGAGAATATACAGTGAGTTCTTCACCACTTTTATCGCTCACATGGCTTTCGACGAGAAGCCGATCTTTAATGGCGTTATTCACGTGTTTCTCGCAGTCATTAGAAGTCATTCTGTAATTCTTATACATATGAGCCTTCAGTTTCTCAAGAGTTGGCAATTGATTCAACTCTTTTAGATGAAGTATTGTCGGCCATAACTGACCGATGATTATCTCCGACACTACCGCTGGAGACAACGCCCGGCGCTCTTTCACCACCAAATTATCTGTTAATAAACATATTTTCATTGTATTAACTCTTAATTCAATATCAATTCATTTCATATTTCATTTAAAACCCGTTATATCTATAAAAATACATTAATTTTTGTTTATTTACTTATTTAATAACAATATGTAAATAAAATTTTATAAAATCTAACTTCAATTACAATTAATTAAAGTGTTTATAAGCTCTGGTAGGAGATTAACCATTGATATGATGGTTAAATATGTTTAAGACATGTGACAATTGTGGCCAATCATTAAAATAAAGTCAAAAACATCTATTTTATGGGACATTAATCACAATTCAATGTTAATTAAACTGATGTTAACATCAATTTGAAGCTAAATATAAACTAAATTTAGATAAAAGTGTTGCAAATAAATGCAAACTATAAATTAAATTACCGGTTGAAGACATCTTCACAATGGCATCGACTCCCTATGATCTGCACTTTGGGCACAATTATCATCAATTAAACCACATTTAAATCCAAACCAATCGTCAATTAAGGGATCGTTTTGTCGGCAAAAAGACCACAAATTCTGTATTCAATCAAAAAACGAGAGAAAAATCATTAAATTTATTAAATTATTGTTTCGATAAAAAAAGATAAAATTAAACAAAACTTTGCGATAATATATTGAAATGAAATAAAATCATTATTAAGACATGAGTTAATCAATGAATTAGAGAAATGAAATGTGTATTAAATACAATACAACTGAAACTAAATTAAATGTAATAATAAAATCAAACAATAATTGATTGCATTTAACGGTGTATTCATTAAACACACGTCTCTGTCGTCTCCCTCTCTATTGATATGTGTTTTGAATAAAACTTTTTTATATAAAACTCATTGCTTTGCCATTCATTTGGTGTCTGTTTTACACCACAAATACAATCATTCATTAAATAAATACCAAATTCAGTGCTTCATTGGTGTGAATGTGAATACAATTAATTGATTTGCAATTAAGTATCACTTTTAGTAATTAATTTGCAATCATTTACACACAAAAAATTGTCAAAAATATTATTGCAAATACAATGTATAGCATATGTGCTATTGTTTGCCAAACATAAGCATTTCACCACAAAAACAAACACAAACCGAATGTAAACTCGCATTCAATGTCACATATAGTGCTATTCAATATCATTATATTAATACTCGCCTCCAATGGCTGGCGCTTACAATTCATACCAACTTTCCCAACATTTATAACTTTTTCCCCTTTTTTGTCACAATTTATTGATTTAATTATAGTTTATTGGTTTTTGAATCATATTTATGTTGTCGTATAAATGTATCCCACTTTTAGCCCTATATCTCTATTCTTTAGCAATTTATATGCCAT